AAAGCCCATTAATTATCATAAGCTCATCTCATTACTCAAGAGTTGGTGATTGAAATCAATTTGTGTCAATAATGATGATGATAAAATTTTAAATGCTTTTAAATAACGTAATATCATAGAACTGTTTACAGATTCCAGATACGAGATAAAACAAAAATCTATCACATGTGGAATAATCAAAGTCCAATAGTTTTTCAGTTTATATCATCAAAATCTTAACCTTTGATGTTAGAAATGCCAGTTTCGGGTTAATATCGATGAAAATATGTCTCCGCCCTTGACTGGAGTTGCTTGGGCGGTGTTTAAATGAAAGACTCACAATGGGGCGTGGTCTAAAAACCCGTAAAAGTTGTCCTCGGTTTAATATGTTTGCCTCACGCTACTAACTAATACTTTCTGAAAACTTTAGCTCTAATTTTCTGGTTATTCACTGCACTTTGTTATTACCCTTCCTTTGTCATTGTGAACAAAAAAAAGGAGAAAAATAGAATTGCTAATTTACTCTGGATATAAAGTGAATTAATTTTTTGTTCCATGATTTTAAAAGTACAATGCCATCAGTAATTTTTCATATTTATTACAATAAAAATGTCAGACCAATTACACAATAATTGTCCTTATATTTAAAATCTTGCCATGTGATTGGATATAAATAAAATCTCTATTAAGTTCATTTACAGTACTAGTATTTAAACATATATAAACATCCCAAAGCCCAATGTATTAATAATAAACCAAAAGATAGCCTTAATCAGGCTATATGCCCAATTAATTAAGCTGTCTTTTGGTTTTCTAGTATTTAAGATTCTCAAATAATATAACAAAATGGAATAATTTAACATGAGTATTTAATTTGCTGCCTACTTTATAGTAGGCAGCAAATTAAATTAGCTCTTTATAAATAGTTAAATTAATAAACTCTTAAAAAGTTTTTTTATTTAAACATAAACAAAATTTTTATTAATTTTGAAGGCTTCTTTTAAAGTCTATATTTGTAACTATTAAAAAATTTGGGGAATTTCAAATTCCATTTTAAGAGAAACACTTAAATTCTAAAAGATTGTTTTTTCCTGTTTTTTTGTTTTAATAATTTAAGGAATTTATATTCCAGAGTTATATGAATCTTAAGGAATTTCATTATCCAGAAAAAAATGTAAAAGTTTATGTATATTATATGTATAAATATAATTTACTTTAGTAAGTTTTTATAATACATTTTAAATATAGTATGTATATTATAAAGTAAAAAGATAAAAATAATAAATTACTAATGCATTAATTTATTATTGATTATTTTCTATAAGATCTATATAAGAATGTTTTTATATGGTTATAATAGTTGAATTGTTTATGTTGATGAACAATATGAATATATTGTTTTGTGGATTGTTCTAATATTTTAGGTTAATTCAATGTGTAAGATTAGAATCATTTGCTGATCATTTTCTCTGCTATTACATAACATTTCTAATTTTATTAGACAGATTTATGATTCTAGGATAGTAATTAGTACATTTATGATATTTGATTTTGTAAAGTAATTTGTATTAATATAGCCAAACTCTGATGACAAAATATTATGATAAAGTCTAAAAAACATAATATATTACTAAATATAAATTGCATGAAGCATACTTATGAACATGGTATATAGAACTTCAAGTCTCATTTCTCACTTTACTTTTATTTTTAAATTTACTAAAACTCTGTAATAAATAATCATTAAATTTGGCTGAAGGTATAGAACAGGAAATATATTTTCCACAATCTGCAAATTGAGTCTAGCTCTTTATAATTACATACATAGGTACAGTATGTAATTACATATAATGAATCTCCACTGTAATTAATTATATTACTCAAGATATGTTAATGATGGTTTAATTTAAAATATTATCACATTAACCAATATTTTTATCTTATTCAAATTAAAACAGGAAATTAAATAATATTTATCAATAACGTAATAAATAAAAAATACTGAAGTTATAATCTTGTAAAATAATTCTATTACAATTATAAATGGGCATTAATAAAAATGTATTGCTTCCTACTATATTTCATAAATATGATACTGTATTTAATAAATATATTTTATAAATCTATTCAACATTTTAATAAATTACATTATGATGAATTACTTTAATATTTTCATTACATTTTTCTACTAATAATATTTTAATATAAATATAATATGTGTGATTTAATATAATTTAAATATAAAGAATTGTAGAAAATAAATCTTATTATTAAATTGAAAAAAATAAGATTATATATTATCTATTTCTATCATCTTTGTTTTCCTTTTCTTTTTTTTTATTTAAAAAACCAACCATCTGTAGCCAATATTGAATTGCTAAAAAGAAAACATTATTCAACAGAAATGAAATTTCTATTTATATTTTTAAAATAAGCAATACACTTAAAATTTTATGATTATAAATTAAAATTTAGCTTATGAATAATAAAAAAAATTACTCAAAATTTAATAAAATAAAAATAATTTATAATAAGAATTAGAATAAATACAACATTGATTTTTAATAATATTTAATAATTT